TCAGGTGCTTGGCTGACTGGTTCTTGCTCACATGCTCAGGGTCTAACAGTTCCCGAAATCTGGGAGGAGGAAGGAATTTTCCCTAGGTCAGATGGGCAGGGACCTTGGGGTTCTTTTCACCTTCCTCTACAGTATGGGGGACAGGTCCCTTCCTGGGATTCTCTGGGTGTATTTCATATAATATGGGTCCTCAGGCATTGGGCACCTAGGTTTCTTCTGGTCTCTGCCTCTGGCACACAATAGTTTAGTCTCCGGAGGATTATAATATTTTCCTCTGATTCTGGTTGTGGAGGTGGTAAATGCAGCAAAAAAGCTGGCAAACATTAATTGCAGTGTAATGCCCATTGGCAGGAACAAAACAAAACACATGCACGCCCCATGTGATGGAATGCACCCCTGTGTTCACATCCTACATGTGATTGTAATCATCTTTGTACAAAGGATGCCTTGTGAGGTATCTTTTGGAAACTCATAATTTGCTAGTCAGAGTTGTCCTGATAAAATATTGGCAACATTGTATGTGAAGTTGTAAGACTGTGTTATTAACAGATGTTCCAAACCCCACAGCCCTGCCCAAACAGAAGTTGGCAGACAGGTCGGTTCTAAACAAAGGAATGTGTGCTCTGCTTATTTCGCATTTAAGCAGTAAACAACGTCATCAAGCAGGAAAGGGAAGACAAAGAAAGTTCCAACAGGTGAAAAAATGATCATGGAATATCCTTCCACATAGACTCTAAGGGTATGTCTACACTGCCCATGTTACAGTGGGGCCGCGGCAGCGCTGTGACATGGGCAGTGTAGTTACGCTTTATCGCCGGGAGAGAGAAAAAAAAACACTCGGTGATAAAGCACTGTCTATACTGGCGCTTTTCAACACTAAAACTTTTATTGTTCAGGAGGGTGTTTTTTCACACCTCTGAAGGACTAAAGTTTTAGCGCTGAAAGTGTCAGTGTAGACACAGCCTTAGGCTCCTAGTCCTCAGCTGGAAATATTTGTCAAGAGGGCGACTGAAGCTATAAACAAGAGGGACATCACATTCACTGCACCTGAAGAGACAAAGGAAGCAGCCATTGGGGGAGGGGTCCTGACCCAAGAGTTTGGTCAGTAATCTACTGGAGCATGTGGTGAGAAGCTTTGTTTGACTCTAATATAGTTTGTTAAATTAGACATTAGTAAACATCTTATCTTTGTTTTCCTTGTAACCATTTCTGACTTTTACGTACTCACTTAAAATCCATCTCCTTGTAGTTAATACACTTGTTTTACTGTTTTATCTAGTCAGAGTGTTTAAACTGAAGTGTCTGAATAACTATTTGAGATAAGGTGGCACACTATTCTCTTTAAGCAGGGGTCTCAAGCACGCTGCGGCCCACCAAGCTCCCCGTGCCCCCCCCACCCCTCCCAGAGCTATTTCCTATGTCCGCCAAGCTCACCTCACCCACCGGCCCCACTCCTCTGCCTACCTCCAGGCACTTTCTGCTGCCAAACAGCTGTTTGGTAGCACTTAGCACTTTCCAGGGGGGAGGGGGGAGGAGCGGGGAGCCGCATGCTTAGGGGAGGAGGTGGAGAAGAGGCAGGGCAGGGGCGGGGATTTGGGGAAGGGGTGGGAAGAGGTGGGGCAGGGGCGGGACCTCATGGAAGGGGTGGAATGGGGGCAGGGCAGGGCTGGCGGCGGCGGAGGGGCTTTTGTACCTTTATATGGAAAGGTATCAGTGATGCGGCCTTCGGGCCAATGTACTAGTCCTCATGTGGCCCTCGTGGTGATTTGAGTTTGAGATCCCCACCTTAAAGGAATAATGGACTTAAAATATCTGTGCTGTTCCACAGAGGACTGGGCAATACAAGACATACATTTCTGGGGGGAAAGCTGGGACTTGGGGTGTGTTGGGGTCACCCTGCAGCATAACCAAGGCTGGTGAGAGCGAGAGCGTAACCCAAGTGTGACTGGCAGGCTGCAGTTACACACTGACACTCCAGGTGTGGCATGCATGCTGGAAGGTTGTGTGTGAGTGGCCCACGTGGAAGCTACTACTGCAAGGCATTGTAAAGCACCCAAGGGTGCAGGGCAGGGGTACACAGCCTCCCACTGGTCTGGACTACACCCTGGTATGTCACAACCCCCCTACAGAGTCCCTAATTAAATGTAGTCAACTGGGTGCTGCTGTGGACAGTCCAGTGTAAACCATTTGCTCAGTGGGCAGCAGCAGTCCAACCAGAGCTAATGGGGTGCTAGACTGTATTAGGAGAGGGATAGAGAATAATATTGAAGATATCTTTACAAAGGCAGGCTATTAACCAAGCAGTAATCGCCCTGCCTCGTCCCCAGCCTCCCTCATGAAGCTTGGATTCTCACCATATGTAGGTCATACATACACCCCATGGAACCTCCAAGTCTCCTTGCACAGCAAAACGGCAGTAGGGTTCTCCCCATGCAGCCAGCAGACAGGATTTATCCCTTACTGCTGCCCAAAGCATTTGAGTCAAAGCCCTCTCAAGTCAATGGGAGTCTTCTCGCTGATTTCAGTGAAATATGGACAGTAGGGTTACCATTCGTCCGGATTTACCCGGACATGTCCTCCTTTTTGTGCTAAAAATAGCGTCCGGGGGG